TGTCCTCTGATGTTCTGTGTTGTCCTCTGATGTTCTGTGTTGTCCTCTGATGTCCTCTGATGTTCTGTGATGTTCTGTGTCGATCGCCATGTTGAGAACTCGTCTGTTCATTACAGGTTGAAACCTTCAGATATCAAATGTTCTCTCAGTTCTTCAGGGACGATTCTGATGTTCAGCCTCCAGCTTTTCAAACGGTCTGTTTCAGCTCTAAAAGTTCTTCGCTTCTGTTTCCAGGTTCTCAGCGGTTCTTTGTAACTTCAGCGCTCAGCATTCACACAAACTGAAATAGCGCCGGTTCTGATCTCAGTTCCGATCAACAGATTATCACCAGTAACACCATCACGTGTCTTTCAGGTCGTCCTGACGGCGTTTCAACTGCAGAAAGATGTGAAACTGAAAAGTTCTCCAGCTGATCTGGTCACAGAGACCGACCAGCGGGTTGAGAAGATCCTCATCTCTGCCATCAGGAACCGATTCCCACAGCACAGGTTCTACTGAGTTCTGCTGAGTTCTACTGTAGGAACAGATTTGAAAAGTAGAACTCCTGCTCTCTCTTTGGTTGATGTATTATGTATTCATGTTCTCCAGGGTTAGGGTTAGGGTTAGACATCAGCTCTGTGAGGTCACACAGCAGACAGGAAGTGAGCAGGTAAAACGTTCCGTTGTTTGACCTCTGACCTTTGACCCCCAGGTTCATTGGGGAGGAATCTGTAGCTGCGGGTGAGCGTCTGGAGCTGACTGACAGTCCCACCTGGATCATCGACCCCATCGACGGGACTGTGAACTTTGTACACAGGTGAGAGGCTCCGCCCACACTGTGATGTCACAGAGTGGAGGGTCACACCTGCTGACATCACAGATCCAGTCAGATGTGTGTTCAGTGTCTGAAGTGTCATTTCCTCTGACAGGTTTCCTTTTGTGGCTGTCTCCATTGCCTTCACTGTCAACAAGCAGGTAAACTCACCTGTTAGGGAGGGGTCAGAGGTCAGGGGGCGGGGCTCAGACAAGAAGTGGTCTGACATGTTGTTGTTGTTGTTCCCAGACGGAGTTTGGGATTGTTTACAGCTTAGTGGAGGACAAACTCTTCCATGCTCAGAGAGGAAGAGGAGCGTTCTTGAACGGAGAACCGCTGCATGCGTCTGCACAAGAAGGTGACAACACACACACACACACACACACACACACGTGACTTCACACATGGTCACTAATTCGTTGTGACTGTTCTGTCTCATCCAATCAGACATCAGCAGCTGTGTGGTGGTGACAGAGATCGGGGCGGAGCGTGACGACCTTGCTTTGTCCACCATGACCTCCAACATCTTCAGGCTGTTGAAACTGCCGGTACACGGGTGAGGCCGGAACACGCCACTGTCAGCTCTGCTGCCAAACATACATGTGGATGTTATTAATACAGTGTTCACGTGTATGTTGTATGTTCCAGTATTCATGTGTCCAAGGCTGGAAATTCCATTTCATTGTTGGAGGGGACCAACAACAAAGTTGCAGTCAACTTTACTGTTGTTACCCATATAAATGGAGCCGGCACGGTCAAACGTCTTTAATAATTATATTAAAGTAATAATAATGTTTAGAACAGCGTCCCTTATCAATACAGTAGCACCTACATAAAGACTTTTAATATGTTCAACCTGCATCACCAAGAATGACCAGCAAGTGGCAATGTACATCATTGTTCTTACTGCAGTGATTGAAAATCAAGATGAAGATCTTGTCATCATATGTTTATGTGGTTATGTGTATGACTGTTGTATTCACACTGAAGATTCAGCTGCGAGGAAAACAAGTGAACAAAACTCTGTCAGGTTACAACTGGTCACGTCTTTTATTGTGTAGAGAAGTAGATCCCGTTCCCCGTTTTTCCAAAGAAGGGTTTCCGCCTATTTGTCGTATGTTCCAGTATCCGTGTGTCGTCACCTCTTTGACGTGTTGTCAGCGTGTTTGTTGTATGTTCCAGAATCCGTGCATTGGGAACGGCAGCGGTCGACATGTGTCAGGTGGCGACGGGCGGAGCTGACGCCTATTACCACATTGGGATGCACTGCTGGGACATCGCTGCATCGGCCATCATCGTACAGGAGGCCGGAGGCGTGGTAATGGATACTGACGGTCTGTACCTGACATGTGATGTCATATCTCACCTGTGAGTACCTGTCGGGGGCGTGTCCTTCTCTTATCGGTCTGTTTGCCCACAGGCTCAGAGTTCGACATGATGTCACGGAGGGTCATCGCTGCCAGCTCCGCCGCTGTGGCTAATCGTATCGCTCAGGTTGTTGAGGCGTTTCCCTGTCGCCGTGACGATGATGACCTGTGCAGATGTGTCTGTGGAGCATCAGGTGTAAACGGCGTGTAGGTCAGCTGACAGGAAGTCTGGCTCAGGTGTTTCTGCTGTGTGTTGTAGCTCCTGGCTGACACCATGAGGACTGGTCTGTTCAGTCTGAAGTCTACTTCCTGAGCTGTGAGGACGCAGAGAGACACACGTTGGACACGTCACGCTGACCCTGAAAACAAATCTGATTTGAAATCAATAAAACTGAATCAATAAAGAAGTCTGATCTGTCAGTTCTCCTCAGTGTGACACATGACACATGTATGTTACAGTCCCCTGTCTTTAACTCTCACACACACTGATGCTTTTCACACGCAACACGTTCACTGGCGAGTCATGAGACAGATGAAGGACAACACACGGACGCTCAGCTGATCTGTGTCTCTGATTAAACACTTTATTTATTAATAAATGTCTCGTTGTCAATCTGTTTTGTGTCTCAGCCCTCCCTGACACACACACACACACACACACACACACACACACACACACACACACACCATGGTTCAATAACAAAAACAAAGACAAAACCAGTTGATGTGAAGGCTGTATATGTCTGTGGACGGAGCTGCAGTGTGAGGATATCACCAGCAGGAGGCAGCACAACTCTGCTGCAGGAGGAAGAAGAAGAAGAAGAAGAACCCGGAAGTGTATGGAGCCGCTGATCCGCAGCGGATCATCATCAGACTGAGCTCAGGTGAGATTTATACTGTTGTTTTATTGTGTTGTTGTTGTTGTTGATGATGATGCTGTTTACAGTTCAGTTCCGGCTCCCTGACGTGTTCAATGACGTAGGTGACCTCTCTGTGAGCGCTGTTCAGAACCGTTCTTGACTTCCCTTCCACCAGACTCCATTCACAAATCTGCTGATTTAAAGACGCTTGATTTATAACGACGCGGCCTGACGTCACGGACAGGTGACGGCTCCCTGACACGTCATCACGTACCGTAGGTGACTTCGGCTTATTAATAATATATCACACAAAACCTTAATAAACCTACAAACAGCTGACCAGACCTGCGGACAGTTCACTGCAACACTCATATTGATCTGTTATCGATATGAATATTGATCTGTTATCGATATTCATATCGATCTGTTATCAATATTCATTGCCTCACAGGGCTTTGATTTGATTTGATTTGATTTATTCACACACACACACACACACCGGTAAATCAACATGCAGGCATGAAGTTAACAGCGTGTGTGAATCAGGAAGCTATTGAAAGCTTTTAGAGGGAGCCTGGGTATTTTGGAAACAAAACAATATACAGTACATGGTAAACTTGGCTAAAAACATCATACATAGCAACAAACACAGAGACGTGAGCTTTCTCGGAGCACATGACTTTAGGACATAACAAAATAGTTAAATATATGAACTTAGTAGTTTGATTTTTAGCATTTTCTTAAATGTAGAGATGGATTTCAAGACTCTAAAGCACTCATCAAACTCGTTCCAGAGCAGCGGACGCCTGCAAGCAATGGACAAGCTAGTACTTGTAAGTCTTCTCTTCTTCCCAGTGATGAGATGTTTTTTCCTGGTGTCATAAGCATGACCAGGGCTGCAGACTGGGACAAGCTCAGACAACCTTAAATTTGTTTTATGGATTATCTGGAACATCATACATGCATTTTGATACAGATTTATCTCTGTGAGCCGGAGGAGACCAAAGCGATGGAAGAGAGGGCTTGTGGGGGCATTATATTATATTATATCTTTTTGTGAAGACTTTCTAATTTTTTTTAAAATAACTGGGGAAGGTATTGCTCCATATGACATTACAGTAGTTGATATATGGTTCAAACAGAGTTTTGTACAGAGAAAGAAGTGCTGATAAAGGAAGGTGAGACCTTATTTTGAAAAAAAGATTTAGATAATTTGGAAATTAAATGTTCTATATGCAGTTTAAAATTTAAGCACTCATCTATGAGGACCCCAAGGATCTTTGTTGAGGCTACTCGAGTTAACTCCTTATCATTTATTTTGAGTCATATGTGATCCGTATCAGATGGCTTTTTATTGGATAAAAAGACAATGAAATTAGTCTTGCTGATGTTGAGAGATAACTTATTACATTTGAACCAAATATCTATTTTCTATAATTCAGCGCTGAGTAATTCCTGTAATTCAAAAGTATTTGTATGTGATAAAAACAAATTGGTATCATCAGCAAAAATGGCTTTGTGTAGGATTTTAGGAGAATTTACTAAATCATTAATACAATTGATGAAGAGTAATGGCCCTAAAATTGAGCCCTGGGGAACTCCATATTTGATATCCATATTTTGCGATTTGTGGTTATTACAAATTGTTGCCTACTAGAAAGGTAGCTTCTAAACTAGCTATGTGCCCTTCCTCTAATCATGGTTCATGGTTCAATTTCCCCAGTAAAACATCAAAATCAACTGTGTCAAACGCCTTTGAGAGATCTAAAAAGATGCCAACACCACAATTTCCCTTATCAACTGCATCGTTAATTAATCTTTTCAATGAGATCTAAAATAGCCGTACATGTTGAACTCTTTTTCCTGAAGCCATACTGAGAACTAGAGAGAATATGCAGCTTATCCAAATAATCACTTAGTCTATTATACACAGTACTTTAGATAAAGCTGGTAAAACAGAGACTGGGCGGTAATTACTGATATCATTTTTGTCACCAGTTTTGTAAATAGGAATGATTCTGGCAATTTTGGTAATTTTTGGCACAACACCATGAAGTAAAGGCAAATGAATACAATGAGCAAAGTTTTTATAGCTATCAAGATTTTACTGCATATCCCATCAGCCCCTGCTGTATGAGAATTATTCATGTTTTTGATCATTTCTTTAAGTTCTTGTCAGTGATGGACCTAGATGATTGTGTAACTCTGGTATAGGTACTGATGGTCGGAAAAAAGAAGTGTAGAATATTGCTAAAATCATTTGTAATTGTATCATTCTGAGAGATGTCTATGTTAAACTCCCCAAGGAGTATGAATTTATTGTTTTTCCTGTTTACTGCATAAAGGGTTTCCTCAAGTTTACCCATGAAGTCAAAAGGGTTGAGTCAGGTGGACGATAGATTGCTCCAATGATAAGATTATAACCTTTATTAATGTTGATATTGATGAAAAGCCAGTACCAGGTTATCACAAACATTAAACATTAGCCTGGAGTCTGGAGTTTACATACATATACTCCTCCACATGTTCTGCCCAATCTGTTTTTATGGTAAAATCTGAAACCCTCTAATTTCAGAGTATCTATGTATGACTTATCATTTAACCAAGTTTCACTCCCGGCATTAACATCACAATCACACCCAGTAAAGGAAAGTAGAGAGGCTAAGTTATCGTGGTTTTTAGACAGACTTCTGATATTAAGATGCAGCACAGAAAAGTTGTTATGGGCACTTAAAGGGATAGTGCACCCAAAAATGAAAATTCAGCCATTATCTACTCACCCAAATATCTCTGAGTTGTTTGGGGCCAAGAACAATAACTTCAGTTTTGTCTGAATTTAACATCAGGAAATTGGTGCTCATCATGTCAGTGTCTGTAACGACTAACAACCAGTCTGAGCTACATTTTGTCTTCAGCAACTGTGTGTTGAACATGACCAGAGCAAAAAGGAATTGTTCCTGTTGCCATGGTTACCATTGATATGAGAAATAAAACCACAAGAGTTTAAATCAGAATTCTTAGAAGAGAGTGACGCGTAGACTGACGGGTGCGTCACTCAGCGTCAGTCTTTTTTTTTTATCCCTGATTAGCTGGGAAACAGCTCCTCTGCTCCTCCTCATGGTGATCTTTCTCTCCTCAGAAGGAGCTCCTCCTCCAACATGGCCGACCTCTGGCAGAATGCCATGGATCACGCTGTCGCTGCTGCTCGGAGAGCTGGAGAGGTCAGAGGTCACTGTGTGTGTGTGTGTGTGTGTGTGTGTGTAATAGGGCTGGGTTAAAATAATCGATTCATCCGATTCAAATCGATCTTCACTGGAAAGACCTGATATTGATTAATAAAGTCCGAGATCGATCTTTTTTCCCATCGGTGTGTGAAGCTTTAACCCCGTGAATCTCACCGTAGTAAACGAGCTGCGGTGCTAAGTTATAACAACTGTAGGCTTGAGAAGCTCCAAAGTTACTGCCTCTTTTATCTGTAGCTGGTAGCTGTTACCTATTACCTATTAGCTGTTACCTATTACCTATTAGCTGTTAGCTATTAACTAGCTGTTAGCTGTTACCTATTACCTATTAGCTGTTACCTATTACCTATTAGCTGTTACCTATTACCTATTAGCTGTTAGCTATTAACTAGCTGTTAGCTGTTACCTATTACCTATTAGCTGTTACCTATTACCTATTAGCTGTTACCTATTACCTATTAGCTGTTAGCTATTAACTAGCTGTTAGCTGTTACCTATTACCTATTAGCTGTTACCTATTACCTATTAGCTGTTAGCTATTACCTATTAGCTGTTACCTATTACCTATTAGCTGTTACCTATTACCTATTAGCTGTTACCTATTAACTAGCTGTTAGCTGTTACCTATTAGCTGTTAGCTGTTAACTAGCTGTTAGCTGTTAGCTATTAGGTGTTAGCTGTTAGCTAGTAGGTGTTAGCTGTTAGCTGTTAGCTCACTGTTTTTATGTGTTGATGTAATTTATTTTCGTGCTGCTGCAGCAGCTGCTCCTGCTGTGAGGCTGTTGTGACACTTTTACACACAAACACAGAGTAGGGACGCCGCGGTGCAGACAGGAAGTGAAGATAACTCGAGCTGACGACAGTTTTCTAAAAAAATAATTCCTTGTAAAGTTTGCAGTGTTAGTTCTCTGACAATCTCTTTCTCATACCAGCAAAAATTGTTTTTTAACTGAAATATCTCCAGTCGGATCAAATCGATTCAGGAAATCAGTGGCGACACCCAGTCCTAGTGTGAAGCCCCCTGATCAGCATTAAGTCAATCAGCTCTGAGTATGTTCAGCCTGAGAGAGGTGCGTTCACAGTGAGCACCAACAGACATCATCAGTAGAGTGCAGATAACATGATTCATGATTGATGTCATGTGATGAGGTCATGTGTCTAACATACAGAAACATGTTTCTATCTTAAGTGTTCATATATTTGATTATAATTTATCCAGCTGTAATGTGATGGAGCCCAAACACACTGGGCACAAACTCAACATCAAACACACAGATATTAAACAGACTGGAACTGATCCTGACGTCATGACGACGTGGACACCAGGCTGATGGAGCTATTATGGGATGTTGAGTCCAATAAATGAGCCAGTTCCATCTTTGAATATATGAGACGTCTTGATCAATGACCTCATCATGTGTCCAGGTAGATTCACTTCTCATTAACACTGGGCCTCAACCTCCACCACTTCATTCACTAAAGGACACGCCATGTTTCTACTTCCTGCTACACGTTCAACCTCAGGCTCAGTTACTATGGCAACATACTCCGTGAAGCAAACCTGCTGAGTCACGGGTTTGCTTCACGGAGTATGTTGCCATAGTAACTGACTCGGTTTCACTGAACTGGCTTTGTGAAACGGAAACCTCAGAGTTTCTTCCTGCTCTCTGAAAGAGGGGCCTTGTGTATTCGATGACAGGTATTGATCAGATGCACTGATGTGGTGTATTGATCAGGTGTATTGATGTGGTGTATTGATGTGTATTGATCAGGTGTATTGATGTGGTCTATTGATCAGGTGTATTGATGTGGTGTATTGATCAGGTGTATTGATCAGGTGTACTGATGTGGTGTATTGATCAGATGTATTGATTAGGTGTATTGATCAGGTGTATTGATGTGGTGTATTGATGATGGGTATTGATCAGGTGTATTGATGTGGTGTATTGATCAGGTGTATTGATGTGGTGTATTGATCAGATGTATTGATGATGGGTATTGATCAGGTGTATTGATCAGATGTACTGATGTGGTGTATTGATCAGGTGTATTGATGTGGTGTATTGATGTGGTGTATTGATCAGGTGTATTGATGTGGTGTATTGATCAGGTGTACTGATCAGGTGTATTGATGTGGTGTATTGATCAGATGTATTGATGTGGTGTATTGATGATGGGTATTGATCAGGTGTATTGATCAGGTGTATTGATGTGGTGTATTGATCAGGTGTATTGATGATGGGTATTGATCAGGTGTATTGATGTGGTGTATTGATCAGGTGGTGCGTGGGGCTCTGCAGGACGACAGGAAGGTGATGACGAAGAGTTGTTCGGTTGATCTGGTGACACAAACCGACCAAAAAGTGGAGCAACTCATCATCCAATCAGTGAAGGACAAATTCCCCACTCACAAGTAAGAGGCTCGGCGCCCCTCAGTGATACTGTTACTGATAGTTATTACTACTAGTAATAGTTGTTACTGATACTGAAGTAACGACGTGTTGATAAAGTTTCTTTATTCTCACAAACAAAAGCTCACCGTAAACATGAACCGTGTGTGTGTGTGTGTGTGTGTGTGTGTGTGTGTGAAAAAGGTTCATAGGGGAGGAGTCTGTGGCTGCAGGTGAACCATGCGTCCTGACCGACAGTCCCACCTGGATCATTGACCCAATCGATGGGACGACCAACTTCGTTCATGCGTGAGTTTTTAATTAAACACACATTCGGCAGAGCACAGTGACATAATCACTGACATCATCACTTCATCATCATCTAATCATCATCAGCTGTTTGATCGCAGACATCAGTTCAGTTTTTAAATGTTCAGATCACCTGAATGAAACAAGACTGAATGAACAGTCCTGTGACATCACTAACCACAGTCCTGTGACATCACTAACAGTAACAGTGCTAATTATTAATCATTTGAAAAACACACAACCTTTAATTTTAACTTTTATTAAGTAATAATTGACACCCATTAAAAACATTGTGTCATTAACAGATTTCCTTTTGTTGCTGTTTCCATCGGATTTTCTGTCAACAAACAGGTGGGTTCAATAATTTACACTAAAACCTTATATACATAAAATTAATACTCAAACGACATCGTCTATCGTATGTTGTCAAAAAATAGTGATAACAGGTCGTAAAAAACATTTAAGCATACCATGTCGTCAAAAAAGACCACCAAAAAGGTCATAGTATATAGCCTGTCATCGAAAAATCGGAAAAAAGGTCACATTATAGCATGTCATCCAAAAATCACGTAAAAATGCCATAGTATAGTATGTTGTCCAAAAATCATATAAAAATGTCATAGTATAGCATGTTGTCCAAAAATCACGTAAAAATGTCATAGTATAGCATGTCGTCCAGAAGTCATGAAAAAACGTCATAATATAGCATGTCGTCCAAAAGTCATTAAAAAACGTCATAGTATAGCATGTCTTCCAAAAGTCATTAAAAAACGTCATAGTCTAGTATGTCGTCCAAAAATCATGAAAAAAACGTCATAGTATAGCATGTCGTCCAAAATTCACGCAAAAACATCATTGTATAGTATGTTGTCAAAAGTCACGAAAAAAAGTCATAGTATATAGCATGTCATCTGTTACGTTCCAACTTGTCTAGGAAGTTCAGGAGTAACCGTAATAATTATATAAACAATACATACCGGAGAGGGAAAAATGAAGCGCTGGTAGGATTTACTTAAGCCAAATGTTTTATTAACTAAACAAAAATGTAAACTCGAACACAAAACAGTCCTCCAAAAACTGAGGATGATAAGAACTAACTATAAACTGAAAACAGTCCGCTCAAAGGGAGGGACGACAATGCACAATCAATACAACTCAGAAAACACCGGATCTTAGACACTAAATGGAAAATCACTACACACTAACACACTGCGAGGAGGTACACTAAAACACGTGGTGGTGAGACGGTTCCCAGGAACACTAGTGGTCCACTGACAGCCGGCGGCCTCGGTCCACTCTCCCTTTATCCTCTACCTGATTGGCACCAGCTGCGAGGCACCATTCAGGGAACACACCTGCAACACGAACCTGTAACAAACACAAAGACACACACACACACACACATCACAAACTCTACGGCATGTAACATCGTCAAAAAGTCATGAAAAAAGTCATAGTATAAAAATAGTAGCATAGTAGTAGTAGTAGTAGCACAATAGTAGCAAAAAAATATTGAAATGGTTCGAACCTATGAGTTATTTTTAGAAGGATAGTATAGCATGTCATCCAAGGTCATTAAAAAACGTCATAGTATAGCATGTCGTCCAAAAATCATGAAAAAATGTCATAGTATAGCATGTCGTCCAAAAACCATGTAAAAACATCATAGTCAATCAATCAATCAATCAATTTTATTTATAAAGCCCAATATCACAAATCACAATTTGCCTCACAGGGCTTTACAGCATACGACATCCCTCTGTCCTTATGACCCTCGCAGCGGATAAGGAAAAACTCCCCAAAAAAACCCCTTTAACGGGGAAAAAAAACGGTAGAAACCTCAGGAAGAGCAACTGAGGAGGGATCCCTCTTCCAGGACGGACAGACGTGCAATAGATGTCGTACAGAACAGATCAGCATAATAAATTAACAGTAATCCATATGACACAATGAGACAGAGAGAGAGAGAGAGAGAGAGAGAGAGAGAGAGAGAGAGAGAGAGATGCAGGTAATGACAGTAGCTTACAACAACATTATTGAAAGTAATAATATTATAGTTATAGTTCTGGCTACTGTGGTACAATATGTTGAAAGTATGTATTAATATCTGGCAGTATACATGTGTGACAATAGTCATATGTGTATAATAACAGTAGAAGTATGACTAATGACTAATGATGGCAGCAGCAGCAGGAGGCATCTGGCAGGACCACGGCAGCAGCACAACCACACACGTCACGCTGTCCAGGCACCGCTGCGATATGAGTTAATCTGAGAGACAGTGGAGCACAAAGGCTCCGGAGAAGAAGCCGAGTTAGTGACATCCAGAATGGCCGAGTTAGCAAGATGCAGTAATAGGATGAGAGTGAGAGAGAGAGAGAGAGAGAGAGAGAGAGAGAGAGAGAGGGAGAGAGAGGGAGCCCGGTGTATTATAGGGGGTCCTCCGGCAGACTAGGCCTAAGTCAGCCTAACTAGGGGCTGGTACAGGGCAAGCCTGAGCCAGCCCTAACTATAAGCTTTATCAAAGAGGAAAGTCTTAAGTCTAGTCTTAAATGTGGAGACGGTGTCTGCCTCCCGGACCGTAACAGGAAGATGATTCCACAGGAGAGGAGCCTGATAGCTGAAGGCTCTGGCTCCTGATCTACTTTTGGAGACTTTAGGGACCACGAGTAACCCTGCGTTCTCAGAGCGCAGTGTTCTGGTGGGATAATATGGCACTATGAGCTCTCTAAGATATGACGGAGCTTGACCATTTAGAGCTTTATAAGTTAACAGTAGGATTTTAAATTCAATTCTGGATTTTACAGGGAGCCAGTGCAGAGAAGCTAAAACAGGAGAAATATGATCTCGTTTCTTAGTTCCTGTTAGTACACGTGCTGCTGCATTCTGAATTAGCTGGAGAGTTTTTAAGGACTTACTAGAGCTACCTGATAATAGAGAGTTACAGTAATCCAGCCTTGAGGTAACAAAAGCGTGGACCAATTTTTCTGCATCTTTTCGGGTCAGGATAGGCCTAATTTTCGCAATATTACGCAGATGAAAAAATGCAGTCCGTGAGGTTTGCTTTAAATGAGAATTAAAAGACAAATCTTGATCAAATATTACTCCGAGGTTTCTTACGGTAGTGCTAGAGGCCAGAGCAATGCCATCTAGAGAAACTATGTCATCAGATAAAGAGTCTCTGAGTTGTTTGGGGCCAAGAACAATAACTTCAGTTTTGTCTGAATTTAACATCAGGAAATTGGTGCTCATCCAATTTTTTATGTCTTTAAGGCAGTTATGGAGTTTAGTTAATTGATTACTTTCTTCTGGCTTCATCGATAAATACAACTGTGTATCATCCGCATAACAATGGAAATTTATAGAGTGATTTCTAATGATGTTACCTAAAGGAAGCATATATAGAGTAAATAGGATTGGTCCGAGCACAGAACCTTGCGGAACTCCAAAACAAACTTTGGTACGTAAGGATGATTCATTACGAACGTCAACAAATTGAAAACGATCAGATAAATAAGATTTAAACCAGCTTAGTGCTGAACCTTTTAGGCCAATTAAGTGATCCAGTCTCTGCAGTAGAATTTGATGGTCAATTGTGTCAAACGCCGCACTAAGATCTAATAAAACAAGAACAGAGACGAGTCCTTTGTCTGAAGCAATCAGAAGGTCATTTGTAATTTTAACTAGAGCTGTCTCAGTGCTATGATGCACTCTAAATCCTGACTGAAATTCCTCAAATAAATTATTATCCTGGAGAAAATCACACAGCTGGTCTGCGACTACTTTCTCAAGGATCTTTGACATAAAGGGAAGATTAGATATTGGTCTATAGTTGGCTAACACCTCTGGATCCAGGGTGGGCTTTTTTAGGAGAGGTTTAATTACAGCTACCTTAAAAGACTGTGGTACATAGCCTGTTAATAGGGATATATTGATCATATCTAATATATGAGTGTTAACTAAAGGAAAGACCTCCTTAAGTAGCCTAGTTGGGATGGGGTCTAAGAGACACGTTGATGATTTAGATGAAGAAATCACTGCGGTCAATTCTTGAAGAGAAATTGGGGAGAAGCAATCTAAATATATATTAGATTCTACAGCTGTGTTTGAGGTTAGATAGGTAGGCCTACCATCTGAGGGCAGGAGGTCATGAATTTTGCCTCTAATAGTTAGAATTTTGTCATTAAAAAAGCTCATAAAATCATTACTGCTAAGGGCTAAAGGAATACAAGGCTCAATAGAGCTTTGACTCTCAGTCAGCCTGGCTACAGTGCTGAAAAGAAACCTGGGGTTGTTCTTGTTTTCTTCTATTAATGCTGAGTAATAGTTTGCTCTGGCATTGCGGAGGCCCCTCTTATAAGTTTTGAGACTGTCTGTCCAGATTAAACGAGATTCTTCCAGTTTGGTTAATCGCCAATTCCTTTCAAATTTTCGCGATATTTGTTTTAACCTACGGGTTTGAGAGTTATACCAAGGAGCAAACTTTCTTTGCTTTGTTAACTTCTTTTTAAGAGGAGCTACAGAGTCGAGCGTTGTTCGCAGCGAGCCTACGGCGCTATCAACAAAATGATCAATTTGGGAGAGGTTAAAGTCGGCACGGGAAACCTCTGTTACTGAAGGTATTGGTATTGAATTTAACGACGAAGTAATCTTTTCCTTAAATTTTGTGACAGCACTATCTGATAAACATCTAGTATAGTAACTGTTGCTGAGTGGCGTGTAATCGAGTAAAAAGAAATCAAAAGTAATCAGATAATGATCTGATAGCAAGGGATTCTGTGGAAAGACTTTTAGGTTATCAATTTCAATTCCATACGTCAGAACTAGATCGAGGGTATGGTTAAAACAGTGAGTGGGTTCATGTACACCCTGACTGAAGCCAATGGAGTCTAATAATGAGATAAACGCGGTAGCCAGGGAGTCATTATCAACGTCGACATGAATGTTAAAATCGCCTACAATAATAACTTTATCTGATTTAAGAACTAAACTGGATAAAAACTCTGAGAATTCAGATACAAATTCAGAATACGGGCCAGGAGCACGGTACACTATAACAAATAAAAGTGGCTGCGAGGTTTTCCAGGTCGGATGTAAAAGACTAAGAACGAGGCTTTCAAATGAATTATAGTCTAGTTTAGGTTTAGGGCTGATTAACAGACTAGAGTTAAAAATGGCTGCAACTCCCCCTCCTCGGGCGCTGCCTCAAGGAATGTGGGTATTATTATGACTGGGAGGAGTGGATTCATTTAGACTGACATATTCATCTTGACACAGCCAGGTTTCAGTGAGACTGAGTAAATCAATATGATTATCTGATATTAATTCGTTTACTAACACTGCTTTAGACGATAGACACCTGATATTTAACAGTCCGCATTTAATTCTCCTGTTTTGTCTTGTATGTCATCAAACATAACAAAAAAATGTCATAGTATAGTATGTAGTCCAGATTCACGATAAAAGTCATAGTATAGCATGCCGTTCAAAATTCACTATTAAACATTATAGTATAGTATGTCGTCCGAAAATAACTAAAAAAGGTAATAGTATAGTATGTTGTCCAAAAATCATAAAGAAACGTCGTAGTATAGCATGTTGTCAGACATCACAAAAAACGGTCATAGTGTAGCATGTCGTCCAAAAACCAGAAAGAACGTCATAGTATAGCATGTCGTCCAAAAAAATCACGAAAAAACATCATAGATGCATGTCATCCAAAAGTCATGATAAAACGTCATAGTATAGCACGTCATCCAAAAGTCATGATAAAACGTCATAGTATAGCACGTCGTCCAAAAGTCATGAAAAAACGTCATAGTATAGCATGTCATCCAAAAATCACGTAAAACGTCATAGTACAGCATGGCGTCCAAAAATCATGTAAAATGTTGTAGTATAGCGTGGCATCCAAAATTTACAAAAAAAAAAAGATCATAATAAATTATGTGAAAAATCCACGAAAAAACATCATAGTATAGCATGTGGTCCAAAATCCTGAAAAAACGTCATAATATAGCATGTCGTCCAAAAATCATGAAAAAACGTCATAAAATAGCACGTCGTCCAAAAATCATGAAAAAACGTCGTAGTATAGTATGTCGTCCAAAGTCATTAAAAAAAGTCATAGTATAGCATGTCGTCCAAAAGTCATTAAAAAATGTCATACTATAGCATGTCGTCCAAAAATCATGAAAAAACGTCATAGTATAGTATGTCGTCCAAAGTCATTAAAAAACGTCATAGTATAGCATGTCGTCCAAAATTCACGCAAAAACATCTTTGTATAGTATGTCGTCAAAAGTCACGATAAAAAAGTCATAGTATATAGCATGTCGTCCAAAAATCATGAAAAAAGTCATAGTATAGCATGTCGTCCAAAAGTCATGAAAAAACGTCATAGTATAGTATGTCGTCCAAAATTCACGCAAAAACATCATTGTATAGTATGTCGTCAAAGGTCACGAAAAAAGTCATAGTATAGTATGTCGTCCAAAAATCACAAAAAAAAGTCATAGTATAGCATGTCGTCCAAAAATCACGAAAAAAGTCATAGTATAGCATGTCGTCCAAAAATCATGAAAAAAGTCATAGTATAGCATGTCGTCGAAAAGTCATGAAAAAACGTCATAGTATGGCATGTCGTCCAAAAATCATGAAAAAACATCATAGTATAGCATGTCGTCCAAAATCATGAAAAAACGTCATAGTATAGCATGTCGTCCAAAATCATGAAAAAACGTCATAGTATAGTATAGGGCTGTCAACGAATATTCTAAATTCGAATTTAAATTCGCATGTCGTCAAAAAGTCATGAAAAAACGTCATAGTATAGCATGTCGTCCAAAATCACGAAAAAAGTCATCCAAAATCATGAAAAAAACGTCACAGTATAGCATGTCGTCCAAAAGTCATGAAAAAATGTCATAGAATAGCATGTCGTCCAAAATCATGAAAAAAAAGTCATAGTATAGCATGTCGTCCAAAATCATGAAAAAAGTCATAGTATAGCATGTCATCCAAAATCATGAAAAAAGTCATAGCATAGAATGTCATCCAAAGTCATTAAAAAAGTCATAGTATAGCATGTCGTCAAAAATTACGAAAAAACGTCACAGTATAGCATGTCGTCCAAAGTCATGAAAAAAAGTCACAGTATAGCATGTTGTCAAAAATCACGAAAAAAAAGTCACAGTATAGCATGTCGTCAAAAATCATGAAAAAAAGTCACAGTATAGCATGTCGTCCAAAATCATGAAAAAACTTCACAGTGTAGCATGTCGTCAAAAATCACGAAAACACGTCACAGTATAGCATGTCGTCAAAAATCACAAAAAAACGTCACAGTATAGCATGTCGTCCAAAGTCATTAAAAAAACGTCATAGTATAGCATGCCATCAAAAATCATTAAAAACCGTCATAGTTCTATGTCCTAGTATTGCATGTCATATGTCCTTATGAGAGAAAAATGTTGAAGTAGTATAAGATATGGTAAACATGTCGTAGTGTAACTCATGTTCTGTGGCGTCCATTGTCAGGTGGAGTTTGGGGTTGTTTACAGTTGTCTTGAAGATAAGATGTACACAGCGAGGAGGGGGAGAGGAGCGTTCCGTGACGGAGAACCGCTGCAGGTTTCTGATCAGGAAGGTCAGTCACACAAACGATGGACCTGAACAGTAACAGAATGTGATGTCATCATACGCTGATCCAGTCAGAGAGCAGACTCTGACCTGTGAGTTCTTCCTGTCAGACATCAAACAGTCGATCATCGCCACTGAGTTTGGATCAAACAGAGACCCTGAGGCTGTGGACAAGATCATCTCCAGCCTGAGGAACGTCCTCTGTATCCCTGTCCACGGGTAATACTCTTATTAATAATACTCAGCACTCTCAGTAGTAATACTCACAGTACTCTTATTAATTATACTCACAGTACTCTTATTAATAATACTTAGCACTCTCAGTGGTAATACTTACAGTACTCCTATTAATAATACTCAGCACTCTCAGTAGTAATACTCACAGTACTCTTATTAATTATACTCACAGTACTCTTATTAATAATACTCAGCACTCTCAGTAGTAATACTCACAGTACTCTTATTAATTATACTCACAGTACTCCTATTAATAATACTCAGCACTCTCAGTAGTAATACTCACAGTACTCTTATTAATTATACTCACAGTACTCCTATTAATAATACTCAGCACTCTCAGTAGTAATACTCACAGTACTCTTATTAATTATACTCACAGTACTCCTATTAATAATACTCAGCACTCTCAGTAGTAATACTCACAGTACTCTTATTAATTATACTCACAGTACTCCTATTAATAATACTCAGCACTCTCAGTAGTAATACTCACAGTACTCTTATTAATTATACTCACAGTACTCTTATTAATAATACTCAGCACTCTCAGTAGTAATACTCACAGTACTCTTATTAATTATACTCACAGTACTCTTATTAATAATACTCAGCACTCTCAGTAGTAATACTCACAGTACTCTTATTAATTATACTCACAGTACTCTTATTAATAATACTCAGCACTCTCAGTAGTAATACTCACAGTACTCTTATTAATTATACTCACAGTACTCTTATTAATAATACTCAGCACTCTCAGTAGTAATACTCACAGTACTCTTATTAATTATACTCACAGTACTCTTATTAATAATACTCAGCACTCTCAGTAGTAATACTCACAGTACTCTTATTAATTATACTCACAGTACTCTTATTAATAATACTCAGCACTCTCAGTAGTAATACTCACAGTACTCTTATTAATTATACTCACAGTACTCCTATTAATAATACTCAGCACTCTCAGTAGTAATACTCACAGTACTCTTATTAATTATACTCACAGTACTCTTATTAATAATACTCAGCACTCTCAGTAGTAATACTCACAGTACTCTTATTAATTATACTCACAGTACTCTTATTAATAATACTCAGCACTCTCAGTAGTAATACTCACAGTACTCTTATTAATTATACTCACAGTACTCCTATTAATAATACTCAGCACTCTCAGTAGTAATACTCACAGTACTCTTATTAATTATACTCACAGTACTCTTATTAATAATACTCAGCACTCTCAGTAGTAATACTCACAGTACTCTTATTAATTATACTCACAGTACTCTTATTAATAATACTCAGCACTCTCAGTAGTAATACTCACAGTACTCTTATTAATTATACTCACAGTACTCCTATTAATAATACTCAGCACTCTCAGTAGTAATACTCACAGTACTCTTATTAATTATACTCACAGTACTCTTATTAATAATACTCAGCACTCTCAGTAGTAATACTCACAGTACTCTTATTAATTATACTCACAGTACTCTTATTAATAATAGTCAGCACTCTCAGTAGTAATACTCACAGTACTCTTATTAATTATACTCACAGTACTCTTATTAATAATACTCAGCACTCTCAGTAGTAATACTCACAGTACTCTTATTAATTATACTCACAGTACTCCTATTAATAATACTCAGCACTCCCAGTAGTAATACTCACAGTACTCTTATTAATAATAGTCAGCACTCTCAGTAGTAATACTCACGGTACTCTTATTAATTATACTCACAGTACTCTTATTAATAATACTCAGCACTCTCAGTAGTAATACTCATAGTACTCTTATTAATTATACTCACAGTCCTCTCATTAATAATACTCAGTACCCTCATTAATAATACTCAGTACTCTCAGTAATAAGACTCTCAGTACTCTCAGTGATAATACTCTCAGTAATAATACTCTCAGTAATCAGTAGTACTCCTGTTGTGGTGTACTTTGTATATTTTTACTCTGGCGGTGTGTTTCAGGGTGCGAGGCGCAGGAACTGCAGCCATCAACATGTGTCTGGTGGCGTCTGGTTGTGTTGAGGCGTATTATGAGATGGGGATCCATATTTGGGACGTCGCCGCCAGCTCACTGATCGTGTCGGAGGCTGGAGGAGTCCTGATGGATGTGGAGGGTAAAGACACTCAGACGGACTCTGTTTTTGCTGATGACTCAGATGGACGAACTAACTGTGAGACATTCTGTCTTCAGGAGGAGACGTGGACCTGATGTCCAGAAGAATCCTCGCTGCCAACAACAGAACCATCGCCGAGAGGCTCGTCAAAGAGATCGACCACTTCAGTCCACCCAGAGACGATGCTCCGCTGCCGCTCAAACAGTAACGACAACACCCCACCAACGGCGCTCCAACGCCGCCGCTCACACAGTAAAGATGATGCTTCGCCGCTGCAGTTCACTGAGGATCTAGCGACAGACTGATGTTACAGATGTTCAGTTTGATGAATAAAGGTTGTCAAGAAAACTGTCTGATGTCGTACCTGTATCTGTTACTGCGGGAACAAAGTGTTACCTGAAGACAACAGGTGTTCTCACCAGATGATGTCATTTGTTTTTAATCAAACAGTTAAAGTGCAGAAAAAAAGTTAAGTTCAGAGGAGTTGTCACACCTGCATCATTCACCTGCATCAACACTGCTATCACAGGCTAACAGGTGCTAGTCCTGCTATCATATGCTAATACATGCTAACAAGTGCTAACACTGCTAACATATACTAACACTATGATGTGTTAGTCCTGCTCACACATGCTAATACATGCTAACAAGCGCTAACACTAACAAACACAAGAGGATAAACACTGAGCAGAGCCTTGTTAGCATCGTTAGCTTGTTAGAATGCTGTTGTTAAAGTGAACTTCAGGCCTGAGCTCTGATTGGCTGCTCGCTCTTCCTTTGGTCCCTTTGTTTGTATGGCTACGTTTCCATGACAACTACTGAGTCAATCAGTCACTGGGATGGAGACACATGAGGACCACCCTTCACCTGGTGCGACATCACTACAGGGGGCGTGGCCAGAAGTACACTTTGCCTTCAGAACTCCATTTACATTAATGTTAGTGATAACTGCGCTGACACAGAACCCTCTGATTGGCTGACATGTTAGGAGTGGGCAGAGTCAGCCAGCAGGTGAGGAGGCGGAGTTCCAGGAGCTGCAGCAGAGGTCAGAGGTCGTTGTTGAGTTTGAGTAGAAAGCTCGGCGGCTTCCTGAGAGGAACACTGTTGGTCAAAGTCTGAGGAGACAGAGACAGAATGCTGCTCTGTGATTGGCTAACAAAAACAACAATCTGATCATGTCCTGTCATCAATAAATGTTAAAAAACTTTGAGTTCATGACGTCAGAAAACATGTTATTTCTTTGATGACATCTGATGATCTCACAGGTAAACTGATGATGTCACAGTACCACTAGTAAGACGGTAGGAAAGATAGGAAGCTGTGCAAGATTACGCAGCGACACGTCATGACACGCCTCTTTGAGACGGTTCTAACAGTAGCGGTCTCGTACGAACTCAGAGGACTGACAAAAGCAAAGATGGCTGCGCCCTATATTTACCATAAGTGGCTCTGCTCTTTACTATTATTTTTACTGTTTAGCACATTTGAGTCTTCATGTGAATGACTCGTACACATTATAACGCCTTATGGGAATGCTTTATGATGTGTTGTTGTGCGTGGAATGTTGTGTATGTGCTGTTTATCCATTGGTGTTAGTGAAAGTAGCTAGCAGTGATGCTAATAATAAAGGCTCCGCTACTGCAATAGTGACAACTGCTTTCTTGGAGGCATCCATCTTTGTTTATGTTAAGGTCGTAAATGACGAGGACACATACCGCCAATTTAGACAGGTAGTAACGACATCATCTTGAGTCTCACCGCTCATAGCAACGTAAATGGATCACAGCATAACTGATGATGTCACAGGTACTCTAACTGATGTCACAGGTAAACTGACTGATGTCACAGGTAATCTGATGATGTCACTGGTAATCCGTATGTATGATGATGATGATGATGATGTCACTGACCAGGCGGAGGCGGTGTGTGTACAGTGGCTCTGGTTCCTCTGGTTTCCTGGTCGGCGTGGCGACGTTCCAGCGCTGCAGCTCCGCCATCATCTCTGCCGGGCTGAAGAGGACCGCTGGGTCGGCACAGCAACGGTTGATCAGCTCCACCAAACGCTCCTTATAATGCATCCTGTGGGACAAGTTACTGGGTCAGAGTGGGAGGGGTTACTGGGTCAGAGTGGGAGGAGTTACTGGGTCTGAGTGGGAGGGGTTACTGGGTCTGAGTGGGAGGGGTTACTGGGGTCAGAGTGGGAGGGGTTACTGGGTCAGAGTGAGAGGGGTTACTGGGGTCAGAGTAGGAGGGGTTACTGGGGTCAGAGTAGGAGGGGTTACTGGGGTCAGAGTGGGAGGGGTTACTGGGGTCAGAGTAGGAGGGGTTACTGGGGTCAGAGTGGGAGGGATTACTGGGTCAGAGTGGGAAGAGTTACTGGGAGCTGTGGGCTTACTGGCAGTATCCTCTGTACTCAGGTAGCGCCAGTCGTCCGCACGGCTCCTCCCGCCTGCCGCCGTCGTCTCTGAGCTCCAAAACCAAACACAGTCCTACAAATAAACAGACAGGTCAACGACACGGGGACGGACAGAGCTCCACCAAGTGAGTGCAAAGAGACCTCACCTGTCTGACTGCTGCCAGCAGAGCTGTTATTGGCTGGTTCCAACCAGGTGGGAGACACTCTGTAATACTGAGACAGGACACACCTGATCAAACCTGTCCTCACCTGCACACACCTGAGCTCTCAGGGTCAACCTGTCTCACCTGTAGCAGCAGGTGTAGGCGGGGCACGCTCCAGTCTCTCAGGTGGTACAGACAGTCTCTGGGGTGATGGGCGTGAAGTCCTTTGGTTCCACAGTCAGCAGAGAACCTGCATGCCTGGGGACAACAGAGGACATCTAAGGATGTCAGAGAAGACCAGAAGCAGTGACTGAGGGACAGTTAGCTGTATTATTTGTCTCACAGACGTCCTGTGGGACGGAGTTATGGGGACACTCATGTCCATTGAAGGGCTGGGGTCGATCAGAACATTATGGTTTCTTTAAGGTTCTATCCAGATCATTATATTCGTCCATAAAAGACTTAACGTGTCCAATTGTGTTCTCTCTGGTATCATCATCATCTGCCTCTAACCTAATCTAATCATCTGTCAGGAGACAATTCACCAGGAGACAAAAGTCCAACATGAATCTGGGAGACATAACATCAGGGACAACAACATGTGTCATATCATAATTTAAAGGAAGATTATGTCCTGAATGGTTCCTCCGTTCTGTCTCACCAACAGATATGTTCCATCATAAACTCCTAGAACCACAGAGGGACATCAGCAGGGACGCCCGTCCACACTGGAGGGGGATCATCTGAACCAGGAACTGCTGAGTCACTTCCTGTTTTAACTCAACACCTCCATCATACTGCTGCTGTTCTCAAGATTCTACTCTGTCAAAGAACTTAGAGCTCAATTCTGTGGTTCCTGATTAAAACAGTAATTATGGGAACAAGCCTATTTGTCCCGTTAAGAGCCAGCTTCCTCTGTCTGCCCCCAAGAATGACAAAACCACCACAGGAACACAGACTGCAGAACGTCTTCATGATCAGACCCCACAAAATGTCACTCAGCAAAGAGAAGGAGGGCACAGTAGAACCCGACAGTCGATGTCAGTAGAACGTAATAGTAGAATCTGACAGAAGAATCTGACAGTAGAACGCGACAGTTGTTGACAGTAGAATGTGACAGTAGAACGCAACAGTTGATGACAGTAGAATGTGACAGTAGAACGTAACAGTAGATGACAGTAGAACCTGACAGTAGAACTCACAGATCCAGGACTGAAGGGCTGACTGCAGCCTCCACAGAACTGATGCTGACACTGACTGCAGGTAAAGTGAAGACAGCCTCCTTTGGACAGACTGAAGACAAACTGACAGTTTGGACACTCTGAGGACAAACACAGTAGAGTCAGATAATAGAATCCATTAGAACACTTTACAGAGAATAACACACTAAACACACAACATCCTAAGTACAGAGACATGAGTTACTAGTAACCAGAACTGATCAGACCCTCAGCAGATGAGAACTACAAGGGTTCCTCTGGAGGACCTGGTGTGAGAGAGACCTGGTGTCATGAGGACCTGGTGTGAGAGAGACCTGGTGTCAGGAGGACCTGGTGTGAGAGGGACCTGGTGTCAGGAGGACCTGGTGTGAGAGGGACCTGGTGTCAGGTGGAGCTGGTGTTAGGGGGAGCTGGTGTCAGGGGGAGGTGGTGTCAGGAGGACTTGGTGTCAGGGGGAGGTGGTGTCAGGAGGTCCTAGTGTCAGGGGGACCTGGTGTCAGGAGGACCTGGAGTCAGGGGGAGCTGGTGTCAGGAGGACCTGGTGTCAGGGGGAGGTGGTGTCAGGAGGACCTGGTGTCAGGGGGAGGTGGTGTCAGGAGGACCTGGTGTCAGGGGGAGCTGGTGTCAGGGGGAGCTGGTGTCAGGGGGAGCTGGTGTCAGGAGGACCTGGTGTCAGGGGGAGGTGGTGTCAGGAGGACCTGATGTCAGGGGGAGCTGGTGTCAGGAGGACCTGGTGTCAGGGAGAGCTGGTGTCAGGAGGACCTGGTGTCAGGGGCACCTGGTGTCAGGGGGACCTGGTGTCAGGAGGAGCTGGTGTCAGGAGGACCTGGTGTCAGGGGGAGCTGGTGTTAGGGAGCTGTAGTCAGGGAGACCTGGTGTCAGGAGGACCTGGTGTCAGGGGGACCTGGTGTCAGGATGACCTGGTGTCAGGGGGAGCTGTAGTCAGGAGGAGCTAATGTCAGAAGGACCTGGTGTCACGTGGACGATCTGGTGTTAGGGGGAGCTAGTGTCAGAGGGACCCAGTTGAAGGTCCTGATGTTAGGGGGAGCTGGTGTCAGGGGGGAGCTGGTGTCAGGAAGACCTGGTGTCAGGGGGAACTGGTGTCAGGAGGACCTGATGTCAGGAGGACCTGGTGTCAGGGGGACCTGGTGTCAGGGGGAGCTGGTGTCAGG